AAGCAAGTCATAGTTACTACTCACACACAGGAGGATTATACAAGACTTGGATACATCGCAGGGGACAAGAAGCAGAGGTTACCCTAGAGTCTGCTTGCTACAGAGGGCTAAATTGAACTGGGAAGGGTAATGACATTGGACAGAGAAGTGACAACTGCCAAGGAATTTCCTTGAGTAGTTGAGAGAAAATGGGATGGAGCAGGCAGGGCTAGAGGTGGAGAATATTATCAGCACCTCGTACACATGGCTTCTTCTTTCCATGTTTCCCTTCAGAAGCACCCAGTGTCTTCTGTGCTCTGTGCTCAAAGAGGCAGTTATGTTTCTTGCTGGCTTCCTCACATTGACCCTATATCCAGTCTTGCTAAGTTTCTTCCAAAAGTCTAGTAGACAATTCCCATCTGGTGTCGTCTCTTTCCCCACTTCATTTTTTAATTAAGCTTAAAAATAATTGTTAAAAGCTAAAAAAAAAAGTGTGATAAAATACACATATCATAAAGTTTACTCTTTGATCTCTTTTACAAACATGATTCTGTAATTTCAAATGTAGTCATATTCTTGTATAACCAGTTCTAAAACTTTTTCATCTTACAAAAGCTGTCCATTCCTTTGGCGTAGTTGCTGGCCATTACCATTTTTCTTTCTGTTTCTACAAATTGTGGTTATTTTAGATGCTTCATAAACTGGCATTAGCCAGTAGCTTCTTCTTACAACTGGTTTATTTCACTTAGGTGTGTGTCGGAATTTTATTCCTTTTAAAACTAATTTAAAATTTAAAAGAATTTCTGGCTGGGAATGTGGCTTAGTAAAGTATTTGTTCTAGCAAGTACAAGGTCCTGGATTCAATCCCTAGTACAGAAAAATAAATAAACAAAACTTAAGTTTCTTAGTTCTTTTTGTGCTCATGAGTCCACTCTCCCTTGAACCATTATTTTGGTGGATTTTCCAGAAGGAGAAAGAAGCATGTGTATCCATTCTAGTCTTCAAAAAAGAACTAATATACTATTTGTGAAACGTGAAAGGTGTTTGAGGATATACTCTTTTGATGCTTAAAAAAAAAGCTCCTTAACTTTGCCAGACCCTCTGTCAGAAGGTAGAATGAAAAATGAATTTGCTTTTAGTCTTTATCTAAACAAAGAAAAGCTAGTTCTTTGATGGAAGCAAAAACAAGTTCCTTCTAGAAAGTTCTTTTCTCAGCATGAGTATAAGCTCTTCTCTAAGAAGAGCTGATTCCCAGACCTGCACATCACCTTGGCATGTGATGGAAATGCAAATTCTTGGGCCTTGTATCACATACCTCATGGATCTGAAAATTGGGACAGGGCAGTGCACCTTCAACCTTACCACCAGGGATTCACTGGTCTTCTAGAGGCAATTCTCCAAAGCTGCATGACATGTTGTGAGGTGCCTATACTACCTATAGCACTGATGTTTAGGACTTTTCTCTGCTGAAGAGAAAGGCCCTGTCAGGGATCTAAACTACCAAGGGTCTTCCTCATTCCGCACCCCAATGGCTGGTCACACTGAATGACCTTTGTTCAAGCAACCTATAGGATGGGCAAGACCACCTAATCGGCTTGGATTTGTGGAGAATATCAATTAAATACATCAAAACTGAGGTCAATGCTGAAATTTTTAAAAGAGCACGTAAAACAGACTGATGAGCTCAATGAGTTTACAAATACAGTTTCAGTGGATTTCTTGCACCAGAAAGACTTGATCAGGATACATCTAAACTATTGATAGGAAGTGCTACATGACTAATTGATCATAGTTACTATTCTGGGTTGTAAAGCTGGGCCAAACTATGTCCTTGCTGCTGTTTTGTTTTGGCAGATGCATATAGGCAACTTGCTATCTCTGTCCAGTATCTGTTCAATTTGCCTCTGTGAAAACAAATTTGGTAGCATTTTTATTTCATTTCAACATGGGTTCTTTTACAATTGCTTCTAGACAGATTCTCTGGGAAACTGGCGCAAATTGCTTTGTAAATCAACCACCAAAGAATCAATATCAGTGATGCTGTTTTAAAGAACTCTAGATAACCAGTCCCTCTGAGGCACTGTCACTGCACTCTGAGGTTCAAAAGCAAATTTTCTGAAAATGAAAGCAAAGGAAAGCACACAATATTACCAAAAAGGTTAGGGAAGAAAAGCCAGAACATGATCTGAGAAGTACATGTTCTGAGAACAATGCTAACATAATGAGAATATCTGGATCAAGCTTGACTTTTTCAGGTCATGGTTATTGATTTAGGAATTGAAGCAAATAAAATTATTATCTGAGATCTGTTTACAAAGATGTTTTGAATCCAGCATATCACCCTTTAATGTTTTACTATTACAAATTTTTACTATTACAAATGTTTTACTATTACAAATCTCCCAGGATAGGGAAGACCAATAAATCACCTACCCTAATTACATACTTTGTGCTAGAGTCACTTCTACGTTTCCAAAGAACTGAGTCCAACCTCCAGCACTGTGGTTGAGGGCAGACAGACACCTATTATGCCTCCTATAACAAATCTGCAAAAAGAAATAAATTAATTTGGAAACACAAGATGTAGGATGATAGTTTAAGATGTGGCTGTCACTAACGTTTGGAAGAGCAGTGGCTTCTTTTTTTTGTCAGTTCTGGAGACAAGCTGTTCAACATCATGGCAGACACTGGTAATTGACCCCTGATGATCCTTAAGTGTGTCTGTTAAAAAAAATTACATTCCCAAGCTTTCTTATTTTTTTTTTTTTTGGGTCCGGTCGTGGGGCCTGAACTCTGGGCCTGGGAGCTGTCCCTCAGCTCTTCAGCTCAAGGCTAGCACTCTACCACTTGAGCCACAGCGCCACTTCCGGCTTTTTTCTTTTTGCTTAAGTGGTGCTAAGGAATCGAACCCAGGGCCTCATGCATGCAAGGCAAGCGCTCTACCACTGAGCCACCTTCCCAGCCCCTAAGCTTTCTTAATAGCCACATGATTCAGCTAATATTGCTGTGTCACAAATTACCCCAAAATTTAGAGCTCAAGACAATCATTTTATTATGTGACTTTGCAGACAAGGACTCTGGATAGGGCATTCATCACAGAACTAGCTTGACTTCTACCTTTTGCTGTTGGTCAGATTGCTCACCAGCCCATTCCTATTCAAGGGGGGAGAAAATAAGCCTTCAGCTCCTGATGGGGAGTGGCATTTGGGATGGGAGATACTGTTGCTGTCATCTTTAGAAAGTGCAGTGTGTCACACTATGGGTGTGACCATGTTGGCTAAACTCTAGCTGAGAATAGAGGACCAATTGGTGGCTTAAGAACATCTCTTGAAGTGTTCTTAAAGGGTGTGAGTTGGGGGAAGAGTAGGTTTCCTTCTCATTTTTACTTTCCCCTTAGCAGATCTATGGAGTAAGATGGCTGGACCACAAACTGAGGATTACAGAGCAATGAACTTGAAGGAACTTGGTTCCCAGATGACCGTGCAGCACCTACTTTATATGAATTGTCTACCGGATATTACAGAGAAATCAAATTTCATTTAGGGAGAACAATGGAAGGAGTGATGTCAATGAAGATGTATTATAAGCTGATTTGCTGAATTAAAACCTCTTTGTACAACTACTTAAATAAAAACAGTGGCCTGAAAATAAAATACAATAAATGAAGCCATATGATGCAAATACATCATAGACTATTGGATTGGTAAAACATAGTAACAACTATTGTGGTAGAGAGTGTGACTACTATTGTGTTCTCAATTGTTTTCTTATAAGGATCACTATACTTTATATATATAAAAATGCTTGACAGTTACTTTAATTAGTAACAATAGTTTGTTATTTTTATTATGAAGTTGGTAAGAAACCAGAAAAATACATTCACCCATGGGGTAAGTACAAGATGCACCATAAACTGATGTGTGAGATGCATCTCTCTGATCCCTGGTTTTTTGAATTTCCTGAAGCATATCTTTTCTCTTTTAAGGGGAAAGATAAACCAGAATAAGGAAACACACACACACACAACAAAGGCAAATAAAACAAACAAAAAGGTGAACAAGTGAGCTTGCACTTGACCTGTAGGACATGAAGCATAAATGGCATATGTGTGTATAAATGGCATTTCAATGGCAAAAGACACAACTTTTTTTCTACTTCAGATTTGTAAACATTTGCAGAATGAGCCTCATTTCAAAGTCTAAATTGGTCATTCTATTTCTCTCTATATTGAAGCACTGACATTTTGGGAGATGTCATTAGAAATCACTTCAAGAATAGGGAAAGGTTGTTGTTTTTTTTTAATATACGCAAAATACGAATCAGGCTAATAAAGTCTTTTGGCTTTGAGAACACGACATTTTAGCAGAATTGCACCCTCCTGGGTGCAGGGGATCGCCTAACTTCGGTCCGTGCCTCCCGGCGGACGGTGCCTTTGTCTCAGTACATAGCAGTAAGTGCCCTCAGGCGGAGCACGGGGTAGCGTCAGCAGGGCAACGCATAATACACAGAACGCGTAAGGCAAGGCTAGAGAAAAATGCGATGAAAGAAAACGATGCCACAAAAGATGGGATTTCTTGGTGGTGCAAAAAGAACCAGTACCGCTCGTAAGACTTGGAACAAAAGACATCGCCCCCATTCATCAATGTAACTAGGTCCTGGGAAGCAAAGAGCACGCCTCTCCGGGGCCGAGGCTGGAGTCTGGGGTGAATGGAGGGTGGATCAATGGCAGACAGGTGGACGACCCGGCGGCCCGGCGGCCCGGGCTCGTGGCGGAACGCCACCGGTCCCCCACGTGCCTCGCCCCGCAGCCCGGGGAGCCCCGGGTGTGCGGTGCCCGCCCGCGGGGTTGCCATGGTTTCCGGGGGCCACGTGACGCGGGGGCGGGGCGCGGCGGGGAAGGGGGAGGGAGGCGCGGCCGCGGCGCGCGCGGGAGGAGCCGGAGATGCTGCCAGCCCTCCCCGGGCCGCGCTCTCTCAGCTGCCCGCCGCGCCGCACGGAGCAGCCGCGCGCCGGGAGCCGCGGGCCGGGCCAGCCGGGCCGCCGGGGCCCAGTGCGCCGCGCTCGTCGCCAGTAGCGCCGTCTGCGCGGTGGGCGCCGCTTCCCAGGCCGGACCCGGGTGGAACGAGGGCGGTGCGCAGGCGGCCCGCCGCGGGAGAGGCAGGATGAGCATCGAGATCCCCGCGGGGCTGACGGAGCTGCTGCAGGGCTTCACGGTGGAGGTGCTGAGGCACCAGCCCGCGGACTTGCTGGAGTTCGCGCTGCAGCACTTCACGCGCCTGCAGCAGGAGAACGAGCGCCGGGGCGCCGCGTTCTGCGGCCGCGAGCATGGCAGGACCTGGGGGGACGCGGCCGCCGCCGCCGCCGCCGCCGGGGGCGGCACCCCCAGCAAGGGGGTCAACTTCGCCGAGGAGCCCATGCGCTCCGACTCCGAGGACGGCGAGGAGGAGGAGGAGGCGGGGGCCGCCGACGCCGGGGCGTTCAACGGTGAGGTCGGGACCCCGCCCCGCGCCCCTGCCCCGGAACCCCCCGCCGCCCCCCTCCCCGCTGCACTCCGCGGGGCGCCCGAGCCCCGCAGCCTCCCTCCCTCCCCACCTCTCCCCGCGTCCTCCGCCTTCCCTGCCTCCCCGCGGAGGGTGCCCACCCCCTCAGCATCCATTTCTGTCGCTCCCACTCGCCCACCTTCCCACCCCGCTCTCCTGTCGTGCCCTCCCCTGCCTTCCCCTCCTCTGAGATAGGAGAGAGATGGAAAGCTTAGGGGGCCGCTTCCCTTGGTGTCCCATCGGCACCCCCATTCTTCCCAGGCCGGTTTGGGGTGGGATCTGCGGGGAGGAACAACTTTCCCTGCGGTTGGAGCTATTCCCCCGGGAGGATGCCATTGTACCCTCCCGCGAAGGGGGCCGGCCGGCCCGCTGCCTCGGCGTCCTCATTCAGCTCTGCAGTTTATTAATGGAGCGGCCAGAGGGGCGGGGGGCGGGGGGCGGGGGGGAAGCCAAGAGTGTCAGATTGTATCGTCTTTTCTGTGGTCAGGATGGTAGATTCACCAAAAGGGGCGTGAAATCGGCCTCACTGGGGGGTAAAACACCATTTCTGGCAAGAGCTGTGACATTCTTGGAAACAGTAATTTATTATTTTCCCATTTACCAAAGACTGTGTCGGGATGGTATTTTTGGACACCAACAAAGGATCTTATTTAGCCTGCCACCCATGGGGTCTTTGGATGGAGGAAACAGGCTAGAGGTATAGAAAAGACATCTTGCACGATTTGGTGCTTTTTCTCCATCCCCCCCCCCCCCCCCAAGTGTGTGAAAAACACCGTAGGAAGTTTGTTAGTTGTCTTCAGATGGAAAACCAGTGAGTAATTGTAAGGACTGTGCCAGACACTGAAGCTGGAAAGAATGAATGGGGGACAAAAAGGAATTTTCTCAAATAGCTCCTTTTGGCAGGTCCCACCCCTTGTGCTTACAACCCCCTTTCCCTTCCACAAAAAGAAGACACGGGCGTTTACAGCCTCTTGTATTTACACAGCATGGCTAAATCCCCTTTATTATGGTATCCCAAGCTAAAATGCCCTGGTGTCTGACTGTTTTCTCTTTGTGGTGTGAGGAAAGCCTATATGCAGCATTGCACCAGCGTTTATTTATTCATGCTCCTTACAGTTTTTGTGCTTTCATACAATGAAAACATCTTAAAGTGTCATTGGATTTCCTTGTTTCCCTTCCTAGGAAGATATTTCATTCCTTTGCAGAATTAATTGCATGCTGAAATGGGTAATGAAGCGAATGAAATTTGTTGGCTTGTCTGAAACAATCACAAAAACCCTGGAAATGAGTGATCCATGAAGAGAAGAGGGAAATGTGTTACTTAAGATTTTAATTTTGGACTCTTTAGTGTTTCTAAGATAGGCTAATTGTTCTTTTTTTTTTCAAAAAAACAAACAAAAAATAATTACATGTTTTCTGACTAGAACCGAGAAAGATAAAAGAATACATCTTTTGCAGAGATGAGAAGGAGAAACCAATAATGGATGACACAGGAAGGGCAGTGGCATCTTCTATTTCTTTTATGCTCCTGACACACGTGTGCACACACAGGCATGCCCATACAAACATACACACACCAAGGGGAAAAAAGCACACATTTCCTAAACTGGAGGAAGCTAATAACTAAAGGGCTTGATAAAGAACCTGTATATGTCCTGTATAATATAATTGTTAATAGGACTAAAATATTTTGCTTGTATAATGCTTCTGCAGTGCTTTGCCTTGACCATCCTACTTTCTCCTTATCACAGTGCATGATGCACAGAAGAGAGGTAATGTTCATTTTATAATGAACCATTAAGGAGCAGGGATATTTTATATGGCTTTATGTCCTTCAAGGTACTTTTACTGCAAAAAATTACTCAATGTGAGTTATTTAATATATACTTTTAACTGGTTGCTCTATTTATACCTCAGCCCTATTCTCAAAGACTTAAAAACTTAAAAAAATTATTTTGGTGTTGGTACTGGGGCTTGAACTCAGGGCTAGAAGCTTTCCCTTAGCTTTTGTGTTCAAGCCTGGCAATCTACCACTTGAACCCCAACACCACTTCCAGCTTTTTGTTGGTTAATTGGAGATAGGAGTCTCGACAGTCTGTTTTAACCAGGTTGGTTTCCAACTAGAATCCTCAAATTCCAGGCTCCTGAGTAGAAATGATTACATGTGTCTGGATGACTTGATTTTTTTTTTTATTGCAACCAAATACAGTTGGATCATCAGCACACATATATGGACACATGTATATCTCAAACTGCAAAGATAGTATTGCCTTCCACTAATTGCAATGCCTTAATTAATTGTCAAAGTAAATTATGTTGACTTACAGTTTGAAAACACTTAATTGTAGGTTATAAAGTGTTTGGCAGATTTCTTTGTGATGGATCAGATAGTAAAAACTTTAAACTTTGTGGGGAATCACATGGTTTCCATCACTTTTTTTTTTCTTGCCAGTCCTGGGCCTTAAACTCAAGGCCTGGGAACTGTTCCCGAGCTTCTTCTGCTCAAGGCTGGCACTCTACCACTTGAGCCACAGCCCCACTTCTGGCTTTTTCTGTTTATATGGTATTAAGGAATTGAACCCAGGGCTTCATGCTGTACCACTAAGCCACATCCCCAGCCTTCCATCAGATTTTTTTTTTTTTTTTTTTTTTGGTCGGTCATGGGGCTTGAACTCTGGGCTTGGGCACTGTCCCTCAGCTCTTCAGCTCAAGGCGAGCGCTCTACCACTTGAGCTACAGCGCCACTTCCGGTTTTCTGGTGGTTTATTGGAGATCGGAGTCTCACGGTCTCTCCTGCCCGGGCTGGCTTTGAACCGCGATCCTCAGATCTCAGCCTCCTGAGTAGCTAGGATTACAGGCGTGAACCACCAGCGCCCGGCTCCATCACATTTTTTTTAAAGCAGCCCTTTAAACATAAACTCCTTTCTGGAGGTTGAAGTTGTACAAAGCTGACTGCCACCAAGTACAGTTAGAGTTGGGAAAAAAGTCAATGGAGTACTATCAGAGGAGAAAGAACATACCAGAAATAAACCTAAGAAATATAAACCTATCAGTTTAATGTTTACTTCCAGAAAAATGCCAAAGAAAATTGCCAGACTCTGGGTAGTTCTCCTGGCATAGGAAATAATCCATGTTGGAAGACAAGTCAATTTGCTGTGACACATCACAGCTGGTCAACAATATGTAAATTTTCTCATGCATTTCCAAGAAGTTTGATTCAGAAAAGAACATCACCTGATACCGTTCTTGGAGAACTTTTTGAAATAGGCTGGGTGGAATGGATCTTCTCTCTCTCTCTCTCTCTTTTCCTCTTCCTCCTCCTTTATCTTCCTCTTCCTCCTCCTCCTCTTTTTTTCTCCTCCTTTTTCCTCCTTCTCCTCCTCCTCTTCTTCCTCTTCCTCCTCTTTTAAAATCAGTAGATACCTGAGATTTTTCTGAGGCCCATGGTTTCCTGACTATACTTTGAACAAACATTGAGCACTAGATAGTGGTGCTTCTAATGTCTCTGTATCCTAATAATAGTATTCAAAAAACCCTGCCATTTTTGACATTTTCTGTGTGTTAGGAATGTCTCAATGCTTAATGTCATTATCCCAGCTCCATGAGAAAGGAGAGGCTGCCATTTGTACAGTTTGTCATAGTGAAACAAATAGGCCTCACTTCACCCCTGTCCTTTTGACTACCAGGTTTATCTGCAAGGGGCTGTGTGACTTGTACTAAACCTGTCAAGCCCTCCTTGAGACTCTTAATGTATTTTATCTTTGCAGCTTTGGAAAAGAAACTTGCCCAAGGTCATACACAGAACTAGTAGACTAGCAGAGCCTGGTTTTTCACCTTGGTCTCACCTTGAAGCCCAAGACCACTGGGAGTTCTTAAATTTGTTCCATGGGCTCACTGGCAGGTCAGATTTTCCCACTATTGGTAATGGTTTGCCTTGTTGGTTCATGTCTTGTTCCATGGCTCCCTTTAGTAATAAGTGATGGGATTTGTTATTGGTTGGTAGTAAAAGGCAATTTTTTGATCATGAACCTGGTTCCCATTTACTCACATAAGGATCAAGTCTATGATCTTGATGTCATATTATGGTGATTTAATTAAGCCAAGCATCATTTAACACAATCTGGAAAATTCTGATCTGGTCTAGAGTTCAATGACTTTTGAAGGTCATGTGGCATGCCAGACATGGCAATAAACCTAATAATCAGTTGGGTGAAGGTGGTCTTTACTACCTCTCCCCTTTCCAAAGGATCCTTTCCTCTGTCAGTATCTTTTCCTGTTCTTCCCTATTTTCAATTTGTAAGATCAGATTATTACTTTCTGCATACTATCAATTAATTCTGGCTTTTAGGCAACCTTCGGGATGTTAGAATGAGAGTAGCTTTTGGTGGCCCTCTCCTGGGAAACTATTAAGGCTGATAGAAGCCAGTGTAATGGTAAGCTCTTGGCATCTGCTCTGCTTCTCTTTCTCAGCCTATAGGAAGCAAATAAAGCTTGCATGTTACTTCCAGAAGAACAGTTTTTCTAAGCCTAGAACTTATTGAAAGACTTTACAGTGGATCAAAGAGTTGGATTGCTACTTATTTGGAAATACAATCTATAATAGTTAATAGTTTTATTTATAAGCTCTTGTGTTGTTCAGAATTTTAATTGTCAGAACTGAAGTAAATACAATTTAAATTAGCCTGAAGAACTGATTTGATAAAATGAAAATACCAAGTACACAGGAACATATGCAGAACCATCAGTATAATAGAGAAGAAAATTAACTGCTTTAATAAAACATAGCGAAGAACTACTTTTCTACATTGTGGAAGATCTAGAATCCAAAGTAGATACAGGAGCCAGAAATGTGGAACCATATTGTTTCAAACAGGTCTATCAGTGTCAGTGTCTCTTCCGTACTCAGTCCTAGTCATGTCAAGTGTGTGGAAGAACCTTCCCTAC